CGGCGTAAGATCGAGGCTGGGCCTGACCACAGCCACGTCGATGCGCTTCCTGGGGGGGCACTTCAGGGCCTGTGGGTTTAGGCTTGAGGGCTTCGGTCTTCGGGCTGTTTAGGGTTTAGGGTTTAGGGTTTAGGGTTTAGGGTTTAGGGGTTTAGGGTTTAGGGTTCAGGGTTTAGGGAAACATTGGGCCGGCACGGTTGCGACTGGCAAGGGTTTGCGGCGAGCTCCTGGGTTTGTGGGCTTGTGGAAGGGCTACGTTGGAAAATGAAGGGGTCAAGTCTAGTTGTCCAGGTCCAGTGTAGCCGTGGCCGCAGCTTGATTGGCCTGATCTGCATCTTCATTCGAGGCCTGGTGAGATCAAAAAACGCCGCATGAAGGGCCCTGGTACCCTAAAACCCTAAGCCCGCCTGTGGTTCGGCTGAGTGCAACCCACAGAGCCTTGCTGTTGAAGCCTTTATCCCTCCAGGAAGTCCAAGTCAGATTTAGCCGAGCGGCTTGGCTGGCAGCAGCTGCACGCCTTCCAGGGCCCACACAGGGTTTAGGGTTTAGGGTTTAGGGTTTAGGGTTTAGGGTTTAGGGTTTAGGGTTTAGGGTTTAGGGTTTAGGGTTTAGGGTTTAGGGTTTAGGGTTAGGGTTTAGGGTTTAGGCTTCAGGGCTTTAGGCTTTAGGGTTTAGGGCCCTGGCGTGTGGGGCATACGGGTTAGGGAGGGAGCGTCCCTGAACCTTGTAAAGACCCTAAACCCGAGAGACCGAAACCTTAGAGGCTCGAATAGACCCTGCACCCTGGGATTCTGAAGAGCCCCAACAGCCTAAACGCCTACATCTAAGACCAGAACATCCTAAACCCTAAACCCTAAACCCTAAACCCTAAACCCTAAACTCCAACCCCTAAACCCCCTAGACCCTGCCTGGGATCAGGGACCGGAGTCGGCCCAGCTGCATCGGGACCGGCGCCGGCGATGTGAGGACAACTTCCCAGAGCCTCTAGAGCTGGCAGGCCCCCTAAACCTAACACCCCTAAACCCTAAACCCTGAACCCTAAACCCTAAACCCTAAACCCCAAAACCCCAAAACCCTTAAACCCGAAACCCTAGACCCTAAACCCTAAACCCCCTAAGCCTCTCAACCCTTGAACCCTGGCTGCTTTGTCCGAGTCGGCAGGAGCTCTCAAGGGATTCCAAGCAGGACCGAGGGCTGTCCATGTACATCAGGGTTGAGGGTTTAGGGTTTAGGGTGTGGGCTTTAGGGTGCACACAAAACCTGCCGGTTCTTGGTAGGGAATGAAGGGAATAGATGCCCTGTCTAAGGGATTGTACAGGGTGCCTAATTCCTTCATTTTCTACAAAGAGCTGTCTTTTTGTTGGCTTTTGTGGTTTAGAGACTTGGGCGATGCGAGGCTGGGCCACGACAGTGAAGAATTCTGCCGAGGCGTTAACATGCCGCCCTACACCCTAAACCTTCAACCCTGAACACTGAACCCTACACCCTCAACCCTAACCCCGATGCCCCCAACCCCTGAGTTCAGAAGCCCCCCAAAAGTGTACACATTCTGTTGTATAGGCGATTAAAGTATCCCAAAAAGTGTAAAGTGTACTCACTCAGCCACTAAGACCCTCCCCCAGCAATGTCACTGCCGTCTGGTGACCCCGGTGGCAGTGGCAGCGAAGCCACCGAGCTCCTGGGACAGTTTTCTCTAGTCTCCTCGAACTATTAGGGTTCACGGTGCAGGTTCTTGGAGCCCCTAAACCTAAGCCCTAAGCCCTAAACCCTAAAACCCTAAAACCCTAGAACCCTAGAAGCCGCCATTTTAGGGTTCAGGGTGGCCGCTGGAGCCGGATGCATGGCCAGAAGACAGCGCAGCAACAAAGAAAGGGGGCCTTCCCTACAACATCAGCAGGCGCCGGGACTGTGAAGGTGCGGGCATCAGCGAACGATGCGTGCACGAATCGCCAGTCGACTGTTGCCACCCCCAGCGGACGCATTAGCCCATTTGCCCCGCTGTCATGCGCTTCGGCCCTGAAGCGTGTTGGCCCAGAGGGTGGCAAGACCACTGTCACGCCCAAAGTCTGAGTTGCCCCACACCCGGCCAACGGTGTGAGAGGATGCTGAATGCGCTGAGCGCACCGGGCCTGGCATCCTCTTGGGTAGGGCCGCGGCAACAAGGCAACAAGAGAAGCCAGGCACTTGTGCATGATCATCGTTTCACCACAAGATGCATGCAGGCTGCTGCAAGCGGCACCCGGCTTCTGTGATACCTCGCACCCGCATAGCAGCCACAGTGCCTATTTGTTCATGATAAACCATAGGAACCAACAAATATTTCCAAAAGAAGGGCCCTTGGATCACGCCCTTCCCCCCACGTGACGGGATGATGTTGGCAGTGTGCGTCCACTTCCCAAGCAGACCCAGGATCTGGTCTTCTTTCCCTCTTTCCAAGCCTCCCACAACCCCTTTCGGAACCTCTATTAATATTCTTTTAAACCCTTTTCCCTCTGGGACTCAGAACCCCGGAACGATGCCAACAAGAACATCCTGCCTGCGGCAGTGTGTCCTCTCCGGGACACCCCGCATTGGGCCGGCCCATACAAGCGCTAAGCATTTGGGCTCTTTTTTGGGTTGTTCGCTCGTCTGTGATAGAAGTCCGGTGTGGCCCATGATCTGAAGAGGTGTAGGGCTTCAGGCTTGGCGTTTAGGGTTTTTCAGGGTTTGGGTTTAGGGTTTCAAGGTTTAGGGTTTCAGGTTGGGATGTTCCCCTTATACTAACAGTCTTGAATAGGGATATCCCCACTAAGGACTTTTAATACAAGGGGGAATTCAGGGCTTCAAGAACTTGCCACATGGCTCCAGGTCATCGCCGACTCGCCATCGCTGAGGAAGGTCAGCTCGTCCTCACTCTTGACGAAACCCCTAAACCCTTAACCCGAAACCCTAACCCTAAACCCTAAACCCCTTAGACCCTTAGAAGGTTTAGGGTGTAGGGTTTAGGGTGTAGGGTTTAGGGTGTAGGGTTTAGGACGTGCCTTCGGACCCCTCTCCAAACCTACGGCAGACACATCACAAGTGCCCGCAGAGCAGCGGACAGCTCTGGGGCGAAAGGCGTGCCACCTTGGCACACGGTGGCATGGATCTGTCTGGGTTCAGGCTTTAGGGTGTAAGGGGTTCGGGAGTCCCCAAAAAGCCGGGGGCATTTGGGTTTGAGGTCCGAACTGATCTGGGCCGCTACAGGCAAGCCATCTTGGCAGCCAGCAGGGTGTTTCGCCCTAGTCTGGCTCAGGGCGCGGAAGTTGCAGAGGTGACCCAGTTACTCACCTTTTCCGAGGCTCTCCTGTGAACTATATGCCTGGAAAGGACATTCCTGCCCGGACTACGCGATACCTACGCAATCCCTTTCCCACACCTTCCAGTTGCTCTTGCCTGGCGAGACACTGGCCACTGAAGAGTTGAGGTAAAGCATCATGGACTGTAGTGGCATATGCTCCTCCGGCAACACCGCCGCCTGCCGCTGCACGTGCACACCGAAGCCCTCTGGCCAACTGACCCTTCAACCCTAAACCACCTTAGGCCCCAGCCCTAAACCCCCCCCCTAAGCCCCCTAAATCCTCCTCTAAACCCCCCTAAGTGGCTACAAAAAGACTGAAGGCTCCAAAGCCCCGTTGGTGTGTCGCATCGAGGCCCCTGCGCATCCCTACCCTGAGGTTCCGGGTGCAGGGCTTGTTTTTGCTTGTGTTTTCTTGTGGGGGGGGGGGGGTGAGGGTTGGGCCGAAACCTCAAACCCTAAACCCCAAGAGTTGAGGGTTTGGGGGGTTTCGTTCGAGTTGTTTGCTTCGTGGGGTTGATGTTTACAAGGGTTTAGGGTTCTACGGTTCTACAGTTCTCCGGTTCTACGATTCTACGGCTCTACGGCTCTACGGTTCTACGGTTCTCCGGTTCTCCGGTTCTACGGTTCCGAACTTGCCTCGATCTGAATCTGCGGACTGTCGACCGCGCCGGCAGGAACGCGGAGCCAGAAACTGACGGAACCTCACAAGGGCAGGGCTGAGGGTTGAGGGTTGAGGGTTAGGGTCTAGGGTTAAGGTTTAGGATTTAAGGCTTAGGGAAATCCATGTTCAACAAAGCATGAAACCAGTAATCCTGGGCCCCTCGGCCCTGGAAAGCATCTTGCTGAAGAACGGTGATTTCTTCGTCTCCAAAGTCCCGCGCAGTCAAGTAGCCGGGTTGATGGCTTTGGGCTCAGGATGGCTCAGGCCTTCAGGTTTCAGCCCTCAACCTCTAGGGTTTAGGGTTTGGGGTTTGGGGTTTAGGGTTTGGGGGGTTTGGGGTTTGGGGTTTGGGGTTTAGGGTTTAGGGTTTAGGGTTTAGGGTTTAGGGTTTAGGGTTTAGGGTTTAGGGTTAGGGTTTAGGGTTTAGGGTTTAGGGTGTCATCCCCAAACCCCCAAACCCCCAAGCCCCCGGTATGTCCCAGCAGCCACCAGGTGAGAGCTGCAACTGGCCCGCACCGACGGCTCTTGCACCAGGAACCAGATGTCCCAGAGGAGCCTGGACCAATTCAAGCCGGACAGGGTTTAGGGTTAGGTTTGGGGGTTTAGGGCTTAGGTCGGGTTTAGGGATTCGGGATTTGGGTTTGAGGTAGGGTTTAGGGTTTGGGGTTTAGGAAGGGTTCAGGGTGTTGAGTTTAGGGTTTAGGGCTTCAAATCCCAGTCTCCAAGTCCTAAGGGTCCTACGCGGGAGGTGCTTGGAGCGCAGGCAGCTTTGGATTCAGGACTTTCTGGCTTCTATCGCGTTTGTATACGTTTAAGGTCTAGCGCCTTTTCTATCTCAAGTCTCAAGTCCTCCTGTTGAAAGTCCATGCACCCTCAGAGCAGTAATGCTCCTCCAATGCTCCAGATTCGGGGGGCAAACATTTTGGTGCAGGATCGCGGCGCATACCGAGTGAGAGATTTCTGTCGTGGTTGAAGCGCATTCGTCGCCTAGTAGTATCTTGGGTCCCTTGAATGCCTGGCCTCTTGTGCAACTGCGACCGCCGGCACTGCGTTGGACACGGTGACCTGAATGCCCCCTAAACCCTGAACCCTAAACCCTAAACCCTTCTTTGAGCCAACGAGGGCGAAAGGCTTCAAGTCTCGAGCCGGGGAATGGGCATGTTCAGGACTGGGAGCAGGAAATCACGTGAAAGGCCCAGGGGTCATCTGAAAGCCTACAAGACGTACCGCCAGACCTCTAAGGGTGGTTTCCTAAATTAGGGTCTCTTGCGGGTACTCCACCATAAGAGGGCGCCCTTTGAAGGGTTCCCAAAGGGGACCCCAATTCAGAGAACTACCCAGAAGCAATCTCGGACGTATCTCAGCGGTGTCACCCCCGAACCCCAGTGAGTGTGGGTTGCATTTATCCACCGAACCCTGAATCATAACCATCAGTTGCTTCAAGCCTAACCCCTAACCCGAAACCCTAAACCCTAAACGCTTAAACCCTTAACCCTTAACCCCTGAACCCTAAACCCTGAACCCTGAACCCTGAACCCTGAACCCTAAACCCTAAACCCTAAACCTTTAACCCTTAAACCCTAAACCCTACACCCTACACCCTACCCCCTGGCCTCCACGGGACATCCCTGCCATGGCTTCGCGATCACATGGCCCCTCATCGCGATCTCACGGACTCGACAGCCTCCTTCGCATGCTTGAAGATCAGGGGGGGTTGTGGTTTAGGGTTTAGGGTTTAGGGTTTAGGGTTTAGGGTTTAGGGTTTAGGGTTTAGGGTTTAGGGTTTAGGGTTTAGGGTTTAGGGTTTAGGGTTTAGGGTTTAGGGTTTAGGGTTTAGGGTTTAGGGAAATCAGATATCATTGTCCCTTCTGGCTCTTTCTTGTATTTAAGCCTAAGGAATGACAGCGGTACGGTGCTCTATTTTGGGACTTAGGGTTAGGGCTTCAGGGTTTGGGGCGCTGGCCTTTTTGTAGGGGAGGCTTCATCACCGAAAAAAAGGGTCGGGCAAGACTTGTGAAAGAGTTCTGAAGGGAGGGGGGGTCAAGGCGGGTATGTAACCCGAGGTTCCCTAATGCTCCCCACTGCTCCCCGAGGCTCCGTAAGGCTCCCTGAGCTTCCCTAAGGTTCCCAAGGTACCTAACCCCCATGGACCCCCCTCCCTGAAGAAATCTATAACTTAGTTGCTGAGTTCAGAAGCCCCCAAAAAAGTGTACACTTTTCTATAGGGGATCAATTGTACTCATTCAGCTACGAAGATCAAATAAGCCCCAAACAAGACTTACTTGAGGGATCTTTGGGCCTCTGGGGAGCCAGAAAGGTAGTACAAGGTCCTGACACCCAACGAGCACCAGCAGATTGACGGCAAAAGCCTTTGCTCGAACCCTCAACCCTACCCCCTAAACCCTGAACCCTAAACCCTAAACCCTGAGACGAAGTCACGAACCTAAATTCAACCCAGCTGGACCCAATAAACCCTCAAAAGAAAATTATTCCACTTCGAACATCCCCACCCTCTCTTGGTAGAGATACTCTGGGGTTGGGCACTCCAGGAGACTCTGGGGCTGGGCACTCCAGGGACACTCTGGTTCCGGGCGAGGAGAAGAGTTGAGTTTAAAATCTAACAACCCCACACCGAGGGTGGGGAAAAACAATAGACAAAAAAGGCATCACAGCAATGATCACAACCATACCCCCCCGAAGCCCCCCAAAACCCCTCTAAACAACCTGATTTTTTAGGGCTTAGGGTTTAGGGATTGGGGTTTTGGGGCTTTGGGGTTTTGGGGTTTAGGGTTTAGGATTTAGGGTTTAGGGCTTGGGGGGTTTCGGTCTCCTGCACCCAGGCCGCCGCCGCCCCGAAGACGGAGGCGCTCCAGGAGGAGTGGAGGGTCGAAGCTCCGGAGGTTCCAACCCACGGAGGGCTGCAGGTCCAGGGGCCACACCTGGCGGGGTTTAGGGTTTAGGGCTCAGGGCTTAGGGTTTAGGGTTTAGGGTCTAGGGTCTAGGGCTTATGGTTTAGGGCTTAGGGTTTAGGGTTTAGGGTTTAGGGTTTAGAGTTTGAGAGATTTAGGGCTTAGGGCCTGGGGTTTAGGAGATGCAAGTTTTTGTTCGGTGGTTTTCTCATGAATTGAGGTTGTTGAGGAGCTTCGGGGTTTGAAGGGGATTGTAGGCGATTTTATATAGGGGGTTTAGGGGTTTGGGGTTGGGCCGATAACTAGGGTATATGTTCAGGGCTCAGGGTTTACGGGTTAGGGACTTTTGGGGTTTAGGGCTTAGGGTTTAGCAGTAGCAAGATTTGGGGTCTGGTGCCAGCATGATCTCGGCTACAGACCACATTTGGGTATCCTGTGCGGATACAGTAGAAATTCTGATGCAGGATCAGCACAAACTCCACAGCACCATGCGGACGGTCTTGGGGTTTGAGGTTGGGGTTTTCCATTGCAAGGCCTGGGTGCGAATCTGTGCGACATCGGTGTGCCCTGTGTTCTTGGAGAAGCAGCACCAAACTCCAAACACCATTCCACAGCTACCGATGCCGCAGACTGCTCGCGTTGTGATCTAAAAGGCAGTCGGCGCAAGAGAATCGGGCCAACCCCTCCCAAAAACCCGATCCCAAACAACCGACATGCTGCCCTCGTCCCTGGCCCACTCCCCCCGGCCGTCTGCCAGTCAGAGTCGAAGCTCGGAACGACCTTTGCGGCTTAGGGCTCAGGGCAGGTGGACGGGGACAAGCCGTCCAGAGCCGACGAAGCGGTCACTACGCCCTTCATGTCAATGCACAAGGTTGGTTAGTAACGGCACTTTTGGGCGTCCTAAGCATACACACTCCCCCAACCCCGAGATTCTGAACCGCCTGATTTAGCCGTCCTGAGCCCCGCACTCGTTTCGGAAGGGTGATGTTGCAATCACCTTGGCCATGTTGTGGAACCGCAAGCTCGACGTTTGAAATGGTCTGCGCTGCAGGTTTCGGGTTTAGGGTTGAGGGTTGAGGGTTGAGGGTTCAGGGTTTAGGGTTTAGGGTTTGGGGTTTAGGGTTTTGGGTCTTGGGTTTAGGGTTTATTTCTAAGCGGCTTCTTAGTTGTAGCATCGAGGGACTAGAGAAGAGGTGCCCAGAAGCTGAGGCTTTGGCAGCGGTTGAGGGTTCTCAAGGTGCGGGGTTTAGGGTTTAGGGTTTAGGGTTTAGGGTTTAGGGTTTAGGGTTTAGGGTTTAGGGTTTAGGGTTTAGGGTTTAGGGTTTGGGATGAGGTGTCGCCCGGGATGCTAGTGGGTAGTTCCAAGTAAAGTAAGATACACCCTAAACCCTAAACCCCAAACCCCAAACCCTAAACCCTGAACCCTAAAACCCGAACTCAATGTAAACCCTAAACGAGGCAGGCTTTTGACGCTTGTGGCTCACAACCAGCCCGTGGGCCAGAGTGAGCGCGGCTTCCAGAGGACACGAACACGGGCGGTTTCGGGTTTAGGGTTTAGGGTTTAGGGTTTAGGGTTTAGGGTTCAGGGTTTAGGGTTTAGGGTTTCGGGTCTTAGAGGTTATTGGGCTGCAGTGCTTAGAGCACAGGGGTTCTAGGCGTGGCAAGGCGGATTAGGGTTACAGGCAAGGGGGTGCTGGAAGAAACAAGACTTCCGCTACCAGCGGTAAGGTGAATCGCGTACGACCCTTTTGCACTTGGGGTACCCACGCTCCGAATTGTGATAGGACCCCCAACAAAAGGAACCATAATTTGAGAGGCCCCCAAACGGGGCTTGACGAAAAAAAGGGACCCCCAAAAAGGGACCCCCCAAAAACGACCCCCAAATGGTAGGCTTCGCTTATCATAAGGACCTCAATAAGGAACCCCTGATATCGTAAACCCCCAAATGCAAGCTCGGAACTTCGGTTGCTGTTGTTGCTGTCGTTTCCTGCTCCCTCGCAGTCGTCAAGATCCGGCCCAGGTTCTGTCTCTGGCTCCTGGCTTGCATGGAAGTGCAGGTTCAGGGCTTTAAGGGCATCTTTAGGGTTTAGGGTAAGGGTGCAGGATTTAGGGTTTAGGGTTTACGGTTTGGGACTTAGGGTTTAGGGTTTGGGGTTTGGGGTTTAGACTTCCAAGGCCTCCGGAGTATAGTTCCCATCCAGCACGGCGAAGAAGCCTGGCAACTGTGACTCTGGTAACTGGAAGGTGCCGCAAGCCCTTGTTAGGGTTGAAGGCTCATTAGGGTTTAGGGTTGAGGGTTGAGGGTTTAGGGTTTAGGGTGTTGGCTCTCGGGTTTAGGGTTTAGGGCTGAGGGCTTGGGGCAGACCCTAGACAGTTTCGGGCCTCTTGGCTTTTACGGACATGGGGCGCACGACTGTGCTTGCAAGGCGCTCGCTGACAGTGGCATGCAGGGCATAGCTGTGATTCACTAAGGGCCTTAGGGGGTTTTAGGGTTCATAAGGTTTGTAGGGTGTTTGCTTATAGGGTTAAGGTTATAGGGTTTATGGGGCTTATAGGGTTTGTAGGGTTCGTCGGGTTTGCAGGGTCTGTAGGGGTTGCAGGGCTTTTGATATATGGTTGAGTGTCCCACCGTCCTAAACCTGAAACAACCCTCTCCTCGCCTGTCTGGAAGGCGCTACCAACAAGGTCCCCGCGGAGGGCCGCCTGGGGATTAAGGGTTCCAAGTTCAGGGTTTAGGGTTTAGGGTTGAAAGAGAATCCCGAAAAAAGGTTCCAACAAGCCATAACTAGAAGAAGTGATTCTTCATCTACAAAAAACTCCAGCTAGAACTACTGACGAACCTCCCATGTGGCGTTAAGGGCTTCTGGGTACCCTAAACCTACACCCTAAGGATCCTTAAAGCCTAAACCCTAAACCGAAAGAGCTGCACGCTGAACTCTAAAGAAGAGGCTTTCCTGCCGATCCAGCCCTACTGCTGGAGGACCATGAGCGTTGTTGCTCGCTCCAGATCATGCAATGAGGAGGGCAGTGCCAGCATGACACGCTTCAAAAGCGCAAATCGTTCCATGAAAGAAAGGTTTGCCTTTTGCTTGGGATTTGTGTGGGAACCCCTTAACCCCGAAACCCAACTCCAATCCCCAAACCCTATTTGGGGTCTCAAGTCTAGGGGGTAAAGGCAGCAAGGTTGTAATACAGGGGATTAATAATTAGAATAGGGTTTTGAGGTTTTCTTCTAGTATAATGTCAAGGAGGCCATAAGGGAATACCATTGGTTAGCATTTATTCCCTATCCTTACCAAGGCCACGCACGCGCGGGCCAGGACAAGGCCGGACCCTTGAGTGCCCAACAGGGCCGGTCGATCTGAAAGGGCCAAGGCCAAGGCCAAGGCTGTGCGCGCGCGGGCCAGGACAGATCAGACCCTTGAGTGCCCAACAGGGCCGGTCGATGTGGAAGGGCCAAGGCCAAGGCCAAGGCCGCGCGCGCGCGCGCGGGCCGGGACAAGGCCAGACCCGCGAGTGCCCAACAGGGGAATGAGGTACCCTGTATAATCCTTTAAAGGGCATGAAAAGGGCCCTACTTCCCGCATTCCTGCTAACCAGCAGTAAGATTAGGGCTCTAAACCCCAAACCCCAAACCCTAAACCCCAAACCCTAAACCTCAAACCCTAAACCCTAAACCCTAAACCCCAAACCCTAAACCCTAAACCCTAAATATTAGGGCTTTTGGGGGTTTCGTTGGCCTCTGGTGGTGCATAGAACGCGAGGCTGCTCAGCAAGATGCGCCTGGGAGCCGATAGGGCTTTGGGCCTTTTTAGGGTTTAGGGTTTAGGGTTTAGGGTTTAGGGTTTAGGGTTTAGGGTTTAGGGTTTAGGGTTTAGGGTTTAGGGTTTAGGGTTTATAGGGTTTAGGGTTTCACAAGGGTTCGGGGTGTAGGGCTTGGGGCTTACGGCTTGGGGCTTAGGGTTTGGGGCTCAGGGTTTGGGGCTTAGGGTTTGGGGCTTAGGGTTTGGGGCTTGGGGTTTAGGGTTTAGGGTTTGGGGTTTAGGGTTTAGGGTTTGGGGTTTAGGGTTTGGGGTTTAGGGTTTGAGGTTTAGGACTTCTGGAGTCTAGAGTCTTTGGTGTTTTTGGGGTTGCTTGTCATTAGGCAGGCACTCAGGTTGCAGTGCGGAAACTCGCCGCTCTGAAACTCAGCATCAAGACCCGGAAAAAAAAGAGCACTTGAGTCACGATACCCGAAGCCCGCAACTTAGCTTGGCTCCCTTAAAAACCTCTGAAGAAGATTACTGAGCATGATCCTCTTACACCCAATCAGGGAAAATATGGAATCTCCCAAGGTCCTAGCTAAGAACCCTGCCCCCACCCTAAACCCTAAACCCTAAACCCTAAACCCTAAACCATAAACCCTAAACCCTAAACCCGCAAGACAAGGTTCCTCAGCTCTCGGAGCAGACTGGGCTGCCGACGCATCCGGGCCGGCATCGAACTCGATGCTGCAGGAATCCATGCCGCTGAGAACCACGTCTTCATCAACCTCTCCATCCTTGGCAGAAGCCAACACTGAACCCACAAACCGCTGAAACCCTACACCCGATTGCTCCTGCAACCTCAAGACCCCTGCGACTTGTGACTTAGAGGCTCGGGTTTGGGCGTTAAAGGTTCGGGTTTAGGGTTTAGGGGTTAGGGTAAGGGTTTAGGGTTTGAGGTCTCGTGTTGCTCCCAATGACGGATGCAGTCATTGCCGCCCTCTGAATACCCCAAACGGTCAAGGCTCTGAACTTGCTCGGGTACGGCCCCTTGATCATACAAAATCCTGCAGCCGCGGCCGCACTTCAACACTCCCAGGATTTAGGGTTAAGGGCTTGTGCTAAGGTTTTAGGGTTTAGGGTTTAGAGGTTCTTCTAGACATTTCAGCCATGAAGCAACTGCACGACGGAGCTCGGGCGACCTGCCAGTTCCAGACTTTCGGGTTGCTTGTTGGGATGTTCCCCCCTTGTGCTAACAGCCCTTCTGAGTCGTATAAGGTGGAACATCCCAAGTTGCTTGGTCTTGGCTCGAAATAAGGGTGTTTAGCGTTCTGCATTTGGCATTACAGGCTTCGGGGGGGGGGGGGGGGGGGGGGGGGGGGGGGGGGGATGGAATTGAGTGTCGAAAGGCTGGCAGAGGCTTGTTTCCTGCTTTTTGATGTTGAAGTCCTTGCATACTGTTGCTTACCGAGCACATTCTGCATCAGAGCATTCTAGACACAAGTACAGCTGCTGCTGTCTACACCGTGCTTTAGATTTCAAACACCAGATCAACCTGCTGCGCAATGCAAATACCAGTTTAGGCTATGAAAAGCTTCATGAAACCTGAAAACCTTCGAGCCCGAATCCTGCCTGAATGGCCAACCGGCCACGTTCAACAGCTTGCCGAAATGAGGCCGCAGATCCTGGAAAGAACCCTGAACTCAAAACCCCGGGCGTTTTAGGGTTTAGGGTTTAGGGTTTAGGGTTTAGGGTTTAGGGTTTAGGGTTTAGGGTTTAGGGTTTAGGGTTTAGGGTTTAGGGTTTAGGGTTAGCTGTCCGGGTCGCAGCTCGGAGCACGTCCTTAAAGGGTTTGGATTTAGCGCCTTTCAAGACAAAGGTCGCATGAAGATGCAACAACGGGAAATAGCAGCCATGATCACACCGTGCAGTTTGCTTATGATGTAAACCTTGAGCCCTGAACCCTGAACCCTGAACCGGGAACCTAAACCCTAAATCCTACACCCTGAAGACTGGCCCTAAACCCTAAACCCCAAACTCCAAACCCTAAACCCTAAACCCCTAAACCCCAGCGTCCTGGTGCGGAAGCTCTGCGAGCACTTCCTCGGCGTCGGTCAGCAGCAGGGGTGTCCGGCCTGGAGATGCTCTTGGGGTTTAGGGTTTAGGGTTTAGGGTTTAGGGTTTAGGGTTTAGGGTTTAGGGTTTAGGGTTTAGGGTTTAGGGTTTAGGGTTTAGGGTTGAAGGTTGCGAGACGGAGTCTGTTGAGACTCCGGATGCAGTTCTGGGGGGGGGGGGGGGGGGGGGGGGGGTTGTGCAACCTTAACCACTCTAGAGGTTTAGGGCTTAGGGTTTGGGAGGGGAGGAGCTCAAGCCCTTTAAACCCTGAAACCCAGGCCTAAGCCTAAACCCCGAACCCATCAAGAAGCTGAGGGACACTTCACCTCCGAGTGATCCGAGTACAGCACTTCCTCGGACGCAAAAAGGGGAGGTTTTAGTTTAGCGTGTAGGGTTCCCACCTGAGCATAACCTTCATCCGATTGGCCTCTTCAAGGTGTCTGGCGAATTGCCGGCCATGTTGGTTACCCGGGCGTTTTATGCGTGACTCAACCAGGGAGGGGATTGAGGGCTTTGGTGCGAGTCTCAGCTTGGCAGGGCTAATGCACAAGGGATCCCGCCTAAGCCCTGACCTTCCGCAAGCCCGAAGCCCTAAACCCCAAACTGCCCTAAACCCTACATGAGCAGCGGTCAATCTTACTTGCTAAGCTGAAGGACATGGATGTTGGTGTTATCGTTTTCTGCGTGTCCCATATCGTTCATCAAAAGCCACCAAACCATAAACTGATGTCCGTCCCTTACTAAAGCTAATCAACGCTAATTTCGACGGTCGCTCACATCATGAACCCTAAACCCTAAACTTCCCTAAACCCTAAACCCTAAACTTCCCTGAGCCCTGAAACCTATATAACCGAGCTTTAACATGGCATCCGCCCGGGATTTCGTGCTTAGGAAGTTTAGGGTTTAGGGCTTAAAGTTTGCTCCTTCGGGTTTAGGGTCTGGAGTTTGGGGGTTTAGGGTTTAGGGTTAGGAGTTTAGGGTCTAGGTTGTTAGGGTTTCGGAGGGTATTGTTCAGTTTGGAGCTTAGGACGGTCTAGGGGGTTGAGAGGTTGTGTTGTTGATTTAGGGGCGGGCTTGCGGCTTAGGTGTTAGGTCCTAGGATTGTTGCTGGAGCTCGACCCCCGTGTATATGCAAACCCAAAACCCTAAACCCGAAATGCAAAACTTCTGCCCAGCTACGCAAGGTGCGCCGCAGACCGTCACCTGCGTGGCCTCCCATGCCCCAGTCTCGGGTGGAGAGGGTTCAGGGCTTGCAGCTACAAATCGGGGCCTGAATTGGCACTTGCGATAGCAAATGTTCATGACAAGTGTACATGATAGCATCAATGAATAACCATAGTATGGAGATTATGAGGGGATGACATTGTCAAATTGTGTCAATTTCTGGTTGTTTGGGCAACAGCATGAGCCAGGCTTTGGGTAAGGCACCGTTCGTCCTCAAAACTCGCCTCCAAACCATGCGTAACGCCTAAACCCTGCTCAAACAACAAACCCTGAGCCCTAAACCCTGAACCCTAAACCCTAAACCACAGAATCTGAATCCCAAGTCCCGGGATCCGCCGGCTGATTGTGCACCTCCTTCGCATGGCCAAAGCCCGCTCCAAGCAGGACCAACTCCTCCAGGGTTCAGGGATCAGGGTTTATTTGCTTTAGGGTTTGCTTTTGTAGTTTGAAGAGTACTGCAGAGCAGTCGATGTCTGCACAGAAGCTCACCGCATGCACCTCGCAAATGGCACCTAGTGCCCTGTCCTGACCCCCGGCCATGCTCCCTTCAAGTACGAAGACGGCGGTTGCCTCCTGCACAGGATCAGCGGCAATTCTTCGGAGTGCGTCTGCGTGCGTGACGCAAGCTTGCGACATGTCAGGCCGTCGGGCCATGTAGCCAACCCGCTCTCTGTCCCTCTCTTTATGGGGGAGGGGTCACCAAGCCATCGGCACGGCTTTATCGCAGGGGATTAGGGTCGAGGGTTCAGCGGTTAGGCTTAGCAAGAAGGTTAGGGACTAGGAGTTTTATCGTGTAGAGCTTAGGGTTTCAGGGCTCCGGGAAGTTTAGGGTTTAGGGTTTAGGGTTTAGGGTTTAGGGTTTAGGGTTTAGGGTTTAGGGTTTAGGGTTTAGGGTTTAGGGGTTTGGGGTCCACCTCCATGCCATCTGTCTCGTTGCTTCTGCGGAGCAGCTCCATCCTTCTCTTGCGCAAAGCGTGGAGGTTTGCTTGCTGGTTCTTAGCTAGGGTTTAGGGTTTAGGGTTTAGGATTTAGGGTTTTAGGGTTTCAGGGTTTAGGGTTTAGGGATGGTTCTTTGTAGGGAACGAGGAAAGGAGATTCTCTAACATAACCCCCTTAAATGGTTGGATTCCAGGTCTACTTTGCATCTGCACCTCCGCGACTTAGATGTGTGGTAAGAAACACTAAACCAGCTCAAGCCATCTCAATTCCGGGACCCGAGGGGCCCCCCAAAACACCCTAAACCCGAAAAATGGTTTCGCATTTCGGGTTTAGGGTTTAGGGTTTAGGATTCAGGGTTCAGGGTTCCGTTCCCTGATCCCTAGAGACCCTATGCCCTCTTTGGGGCACTGTGGGCATGGGAATTCGGGCGATTTCAGGTTGACTCTCTGCTGCGACGTGCTGCTTTGTGCTGGTCCAGGGACTCAGGGACTAGGTTTAGGGTTTAAAGGGTTTACCCTCAGCCCTAAGCCCTAAGCCCTAAGCCCTAAGCCCTAGGCCCTAGGCCCTAGGCCCTAGGCCCTAGGCCCTACGCCCTAAGCCCTAAGCCCTAAGCCCTAAGCCCTAAGCCCTAAGCCCTAAGCCCTCAGCCCTGCCCTAAGCCCTAAGCCCTAAGCCCTAACCCTAAAGCCTAAACTCTAAACCCTAAACCCTAACCTCAGGGATTCGCTGGCTTAGGGTCTGTGGGAGTCGCAGTTGAAGGTTTGGGCCCAGCCACTCGGTCGCAGGGCCGGCGCCCGTGAGCAGGAGCGGGGCGATGAAGGGCTCTGGCACCACCTCGTGGAATTCCAAGCACTTCTTGGGGTTTAGGGTTTAGGGTTTGGGGTTTGGGGTTTAGGGTTTAGTGTTTAGGGTATAGGGCTTGGGGTTTGGGGTTTTGGGGTTTGGGGTTCGGGGTGCGGGGTTTGGGGTTAGGGGTCAGTGGTACGTTGCTTACAGGTGGCACGAAATGACTACAGGATATGTCGTGACAGTTTGGAGATGATATTGTCAAGCTTTTGTGAACAACTGGTTTGGGGTTTGAGGTTTGGGTTTGGGGCGTCAGATTCCCTCGCTTGTCGTAGGGGTTCGATTGGGTTCAGGTTTAGGGCTTGGCAAGTCTAAACACCCAAAATCAAAAACCCTGAGCTCCAAACACCAAAGGCCTCAACACGTCAATTCCCCTGAGCCCTAAACTCATACACTGTCCTACACCCTAAACTTTTAAACCCTAAACTGCTACACCCAAGACCCAAACTCCTCTGCACTAAAGCCTCTCAGGATCTGCTAGGAACATGGAGGCCGAACACTTGTGCCAACACCGACCTCACACCCTCGGCTCCCAACTCAGACAGGGTTTAGTTTCGGGTTTAGGGTTTAGGCTTCAGCTGGTCTAGCCCAGGCGCCGCATCCCCGACGTATGGGACTCTGACGTGGACCTGCCAATGAGGAGGTCGTCGACATTGGGGTTCTGCTGGGTCTTCAGGGCTCGGGCTTGAGTTCAGAGAAGAGTAGCAGGTACAGCTCAGTTAGAACACTCTAGCTCCCAAGAACGGAGCCCAGTTGACATTCCTGTGTACTGAAATTATCCTTTGAAGCTTGAAACATCACCTGAGATTTGGGCAGGGCCCTCAGGGAAGGGCCCTCTTAGGGGAGAAGGGGATTTCTTGGGGGGGGGGGGGGGGGGAGGGTTCCGAAGCTAGGAAAAAACAACAAAAAGTCCAAAGCCGAAAGCCCAAAGCCCATGAACCCGAGAAAATTCTTAAGCCCTAAACGCGAAATCCGCAACCTTAAGCCATGTCTGCCGGCAGCAGCGCCTGATATGCTCCCGCTGCAAGCTGCGGCACCAGACACTGCACCTGGTCGCGGTTGAGAGCTTGGCAGGGCTTATGGGGTTTATGGGGTTTATGGGGTTTTGAGGGCTTTGGGTAGCATTATGGGGTTCATGGGGGTTATCCTCCCCCTAGATCAGTTGAGCGCAACACGCTCAAGTCCAAAAACCCTAAACCTTACACCCCAAACCCTAAACCCTCAACCCGAAACCCTCAACCCTAAACCCTAAACTCCCCTCGGGTCGGATTGCCCAGTTCAGACTGGGCAGAAGGTCCCACCTCGACCTCCTGCCAGGAAGTCCTCGGCGAGGCCAGGAAGGAAGGAATTTGGACCACAGACCCTGAAACAGATTCAGGGTTTATAGGAATTTGGGTTTAGGGTTTAGAGCTTATGGGTTGTAGGGTTTAGTGTTTGTGGTTCCCCCTCACCAAAAAAAGCAAGACCGATAAGTAGCAAATTTTGCTGTGTTTACAACTATGTTGATTAGGTAGAAAAGTCGCAACCCTGAACAATCTGCAGACCCTAAACCCCCACAAACCTCCAAAGTTTCGGGATTAGGGTTTAGGGCTTAGGGCTTAGGGCTTAGGGTTTAGGGTTTAGGGGCTAGGGGCTACAAGAAAGATCCAACCCAAGGTGCACGTCACAGCTGCTGGCATCCGCCGAAGTTGCCTCAGGAAGTGCCGCGCAGATGGACGATGGCACAAACCCTAAACCCCAAACCCTAGACCCTAAACCCAAAAACCCAAAACCCAAAACCCAAAACCCAAAACCCAAAACCCAAAACCCAAAACCCTAAACCCTAAACCCTAAACCCTAAACCCTAAACCCTACTTACTGCTGGATGCCACGCGGCGAAAAGCCGCCCCGGCTTCACGAAGTAGACTGCGCCCCACTGCGAACCCAGGCCATGCCCTTGGATGACCTTGGGGTTTAAGGTTCCTGGGGTTTAAGGTTCCTGGGGTTTAGGGCTTAGGGTTAGGGTTTAGGGTTTAGGGTTTAGGGTTTAGGGTTTAGGGTTTAGGGTTTAGGGTTTAGGGTTTAGGGTTTAGGGTTCAGGGTTCAGGGTTCAGGGTTTAGGGTTTAGGGTTTAGGGTTTATAGGGTTTAGGTGTAGGGTTTAGGGTTCTGGGTCTAGGGTTCTAGGGTTCTAGGGTCTAGGGTTCTAGGTTCTAGGGTTCAGGTTAGGGTTCAGGGTTAGGGTTTAGGGTTAGGGTTTAGGGTTTAGGGTTTAGGGTTTAGGGTTTAGGGTTTAGGGTTTAGGGTTTAGGGTTTAGGGTTTAGGGTTTAGGGTTTAGGGTTTAGGGTTCTAGGGTTCAGGGTTTCTTCAGGGTTCAGGGTTCAGGGTTCAGGGTTCAGGGTTCAGGGTTCAGGGTTAGGGTTTAGGGTTTAGGGTTTAGGGTTTAGGGTTTAGGGTTTAGGGTTTAGGGTTTAGGGTTTAGGGTTTAGGGTTTAGGGTTTAGGGTTTGGGCCTAAATCCCTAAACCCTAAAACCCTAAATCCCTAAATCCCTACACCCCAAGAAGAACTCCAAGGGCTCTGCCAGTGTGGCGTTCTCAAGTCCAGTGGTCGGAGTCATGGACGTCGCCTGGAAAGGGATCGGGACAAGGTTCTTGAGGATAGTCGAGCAAGGCTCATGGTCGACAGTGCTAAGGGGCAGATAACCTTAGGGTTTAGGGTTTAGGGTTTAGGGTTTAGGGTTTCGGGTTTAGGGTTTAGAGTTTATGGTTTATGGTTTAGGGCTTAGGGTTTGCTGAAGTGAGGACCAAAACCTCCCACTAATCCCTTAAACGCTCAACCCCACGCCCCAAGCCCTCCCGAACACTGAACCTTGAACCCTGAACCCTGAACCCTGAACCCTAAACCCTACACCCCAGACACAGCCCTGTGAACTCCAGCGCCGAAAAGCCATACGGGCCTGCGGCCCATGGTCCTCCACCAGGAATGACAGGGCCTGGGGATTCAAGGTTCTGGGAGTGGTTTAGCTTTAGGGTTTAGGGTTTAGGGTTTAGGGCTTGGGTTCGGGGTCGGGCGTTGGGAGCTGTAGTGGTGGGGAGGGCGCTCTTGCGCTTTAGGCTCGCGTCGGGCAGCAGGCGTCAGAGGTTCATCCAGCCCGATTTTGCAGGAAAGAACCCGCGGCGTTTACGTGGGCGTGTCCGAAATTAGGGGTACCTGATTTTGGGGTCCTGATTATAAGGAATCTTGCTATTTGGGGTCTAGATTAGGGGCCCCTGATTTTCGGAGACCCCCACATGGGCGTGGACCTATGACCTGACCCACGTCTGACCTGGTGGTTTTGCATTCTCCACCGCTTTATGTTTCTCTGCTGACTTGCGTGTCCCTGCCCCAACAAAACTGTCAAAGCAAAGTCTGGCATGCTCACAGTTACCAATCGATGCAGAAACACCCTAAACCCTAAACCCTAAACCCTAAACCCTAAACCCTAAACCCTAAACCCTAAACCCTAAACCCTAAACCCTAAACCCTAAACCCTAAACCCTAAACCCTAAACCCTAAACCCTAACCCTGAACCCTGAACCCCAAACCCTAAACCCTAAACCCTAAACCCTAAACCCTAAACCCTAAACCCTAAACCCTAAACCCTGCGCTGGCAGAGCAGCAAGCTGGCGCAGTAATCGGAAGCTCAGGCAAGGCAGACCGATGCCTCCGGATTCAAAGATGTGGTGGTTGTGGTGGTCGTACTTGTTGTGCCTTGGTGGGATTAGGGTTTAGGGTTTAGGGCTTAGGGTTTAGGGTTCAGGGTTTAGGGTTTAGGGCTTAGGGTTGAGGGTTTAGGGTTTAGGGTTTACGGTTTAGGGTTTAGGGTGAGGGCTTAGGGTCTTCAAACTCTTCCGAGCAGAGCAGCCCGAGGAGGTTAAGACCTGTATTTGGCCTGGTTCTCCCTGTCTCAGCATCTGTTCCCTAAACACTACACCCGGCACCCTGAGCCCCATCCCCAGCAGAAGCTCCCCCATGGTAGAACATCTTCCACCTTGCATTCAGCTTTTGCTTGGGTCTTCCGCGCACAACGTTAACAATTCAAGCCGTCCGTGTCCCCTCCGTGATGCTCGCAAGATCCTGAGAAGTTTTAAAGTCTAGGTCCCTATGTTGGGGGCTTGATTCGACCGAGGTCTCTCTCCACTTTTGCGCGGGGCGGTGGACATTGAACCTACCTGCGCTGAGGTGTACACTTGTCTTCGAAGTTGTGGTGGTCGAGCTCGAGGTGACCGTTGTTGCGGTTGTGGTGACGGTCGTTGCCTTTCAGCACGCACTGGACGCCAAACAATCATTCTCCCATTCTCCCCGCATGCTCGAACCCGAAAGCACATGTGCGCACTTCTCTAAATTCGGATCCCTGTTGGGGTCCTTTTTTGCCGTACTATATACAAAAAAGGACCCTATTTTAGAGAACAACCCATGTGCTGCCAAGCATCTGTGTTGCTAGTCGATGTACTAGTTATCGACCCTGTGGTTGTCGAGGTCCTTCACATGGTTTAGGGGATTAGAGTTTTTGGGCTTTAGGGTGTTGGGCTTTGGTGCTCTTTGCGGTTTAGACCTTTGGGGGTACGTGAGTGACAGTGGCCTGAGGGTTGCAGGTCTTCGAGCTTGAGGTTGGGTTTCAAGGTCAAACTTGCAGAAAGAATAGACGGAACACACTCGGACTCTGCTACTTCTTTTACACGGCGACACATCTGTAGCAAACCCAGGAAGAGCCCGTCTTCTCGGTTGTCGTTGTGCTCGTCTGCGTTGAGGTCGACGAGTGGGTGCTGCTGGTGCTTGTCGTCCTACGCGTTGCAGGGCGAGCTGCTAGAGTCTACTATAGGGGTCAGAATCTTTTAACAGTTTTCCTTATGATTCCTATATTAATTATACTTAAAAACACCCATAAAAAACCCCCTTCTCCAATCATTAAGGCCCCTATATTACAGGTGCAAGATACGCATTCCGAGGCCCAAAGATTCCTGGTGCTGGAGGTTTCCGTCGACGTCGTCTTCGTCGCGGAAGATGATGTGCTGCTGGTGACGGTCATTGATGTGGAAGAGGCCTTGGTAGCCCAGTAGCCATATTTTAATAAGGGCACCCCTTTTTTTGGCTTGGTTACTTTACAAGGGAACCTCGGACCAAAAGAAGAGAGAAGGGCACCACTGGGTTACCAAGAGGCCGTCACGCTTGTTGTTGTCTGGCTTGTTGTGGTCCGACTCGTCGTCGTGGTTGACGAGTGAGTCACGGATGAACTTGTTGAAGTTGTCCGCGAGACCTCGGACGCCATGTGGCCCCAGCTTTCGCATGCCCCAGCATGCGCAGTGAAGGGATTCTATAGGAGGACCCCTTTGAAAAGGACCTTAAATCCTACTGCAGTATATAACCCGAGAGCCCCATACCATCCTTATCTTACACCTTAGTAGCAAGCAGCCCCTTTCCAAGCTCCCATGGCCCCTGAAAAGGGTCTCCTTGTCCACTGAATGCCTACAAACCCTACGCTCACAAGGGCCGGCCCTTAGGAGGGGAGCCCTTATATACCCCGTACATACCCTATGAAGACCAAGGGCCTATACTTCAGAACTAAGACGCCCTAACCCTGAAGCCTCCACCTAAGGCGAGGAGAGGCACCGTCGATGTGCTTGAGCTTGTGGAGCTCGAGGTAGTGGTGCTTCGGGTGCTTGTGGCCGACTGCAGATGCGGCACACAAACAAAATGAGTTCAGGCCCTAAACCCTAAACCCTAAATAAACCCCAAACATTGAACCTAAACCCTAAACCCTGAACCCTGAACCCTAAACCCTAAACCCTAAACCCTAAACCCTAAACCCTAAGGCTCAGTTGAGAGTTTACAATTAACGTAGAGAATATGAAGATGAAGGCCTTTACTTAAGGCTTTAACTTGCTAACAGATGGAGCCACGGGTGCAAAGCCTGGGAAAACACAAGTACTTGTTATTCGCAATTTCTCAGGGGCAAGGTTTCTACATGGTAGTTGATCAAATTTTCCCTGCGTTTTCCTCCTGTAAATCCCATAGGCCTGGACTTCCCTACTACAGGAGCCTTAGTAACAAGAACAGGCTTTGGGGGCTGTAATTGATAGGGAAATACTACTAGTATTTCTTCCGACCCCTGTCTTACCCCCCTTGCATGTGATTTTCGTGCCGCTCGGGCACAGTTGAGGATGCTGTCGTCGAAGTCATCGTGGTGTTGCCTTTGGGCTTCGGACCCAAAAGCCTAAACCCTAAACCCCAATAAAGTACCCTAATATCGTAAACCCTCATTTGCGGCTAGGGCTCAGGGCACCCCAGAACCACTGACCGAACGCTGAAACCTTAAGCGCCCCCGAATCCCCAAACTCCCAAAGCCCCAAGCCAGAAACCCTAAACTTAAACCCCAAACCCTAAACCCCAAGCCATAAATCCCTGAACCCTAAAACCCTAAGACCCCCAAACCCAAAAACCCTGAAACCCTAAAACCCTAAACCCTCAACCCTAAACCCCTGCAGCTGCTGCACCTGGACCAGGGGTCTGTGTCATCGTGGTGCTTGTGACCTTGCTGGCTTTCTAGGTTCGGGTTTAGGGTTAAGGGTTTGGGGTTTAGGGTTTAGGGTTTAGGGTTTAGGGTTTGGGGTTTGGGGTTTGGGGTTTGGGGTTTGGGGTTTGGGGTTTGGGTTTTGGGTGTTCGTGTCGAGGGTGCCGGGGTCTACTTACTGTGGGTTGGTAAGGAGCATTGTGATGATGCATAATTCCTTCTCTCCCCCCTAACCGACAGTAGGGAGGGTTTACTGTAAGGTTGAGACAAAAAGGATTTTGGGTGTAGGATTCCTCCACTTAAATAAGCCGAGGCAAGCCAACAGCGAACCACCTCAGACCCGAAACTCTAAACCCCCAAAAAAATAACTAAACTCTACAAGTCCACCCCCCCCCCCCCCCCCTGCTGCTCTCGCAGCACCCGTCGATGCACAAGGCCAAACGCCAAACCCCAGACCCCAAACCCCAAACCCTAACCCGGGAATGTCCTCTGGGAATAAGATCATGGGTTTAGGGTTGTAAAGAGAAGGTTTAGGGTTTTCGGGTTTAAAGATCAGGTTTAGGGTTAGGGTTTTAGGGCTCAAGACGTGGGGTTTTAGGGCTTGGGGCTTGTCGCAGGTTTAGCGTTGAGAGGGTCTGAGCGCCCTGACGGTGACAACGGTTGTGGTCAGGACGATCGTCGGCCACGAGGCCTTCCCAAAGGAACGAGGTGCAATCCACGGTTTAGGGTTTAGGGTTTAGGGTTTGGGGTTTAGGGTTTAGGGTTTAGGGTTTAGGGGTTTAGGGTTTAGACTATACGATAGTTGAGTTTTAGGTGTCCAAAGAGGGACAACAATGTAGAACACTGCCCATAAGAATACTTGAAGGCTCATAGGTTGGGATGCTAGCAGCCCCGAATGGGGAGTATGATTATAGTACCCCTATAATCCCCAGTAAGGACTGTCAGCTTAGGGGGGAATATCCCAACTCGTAGGGTTCAGGTTTCAGCACCGGCATCTGGCATAAGAGATGCAAAGACCGAACCCTCCAAGCCACAAAAAACTGCATGCTCCGAAGAAGACAAAAGCGATCCCAACCCCTCTAAACCCCAAACCCTAAACCCTAAACCCCAAAACCCCAAAACCCCAAAACCCCAAAACCCTAAACCCTATACCCGAAACCCTGAACTCCAAGCACCTCAAACGCAGCTGTACTATCCGAGAGGCTGCTGTTCCATTGCTGTCTGCGTCCGTGACGCTGTACGCATGGAACTCCACATCGTGAACCTGAAGCTCGGCGGGATTTGGCTTAGGGTTCAGGGTTGAAGGTTTGGGGTTCAGGGTTCAGGGTTTAAGGTTCAGCTTTAGGGCCCTGCGCCGACATCCACCAGCCAGAGGCTGCAACTCCTTGGCAAGACCCCAAACCTTCAGCTGGAGACGACATTTGATCGCGACGGGCTTTTCGCCGATGGTTCAGGCTGTCGGGTTTGGGGTGCCTCGAAACGTAAACACGCCAAAGCCACGCTTCCTGGCATGTCCTCAAAAGATAAGAGCCGTCAACACCCCCCAATGGCATCCACCCAGCATTGTCCACAGCAAGTGTTGAGTCCCATGTGGTGTCTGGAGGGAAATTACCTAAACCCTGAAACCCTAAAACTTTAACACCCTGAAGCCCTAAAACCCCTAAACCCTAAACCCGACCTATTCGTGCCGTCACGAGGCCATGTGATGGCAGCCCAGCGGGTCAGACAAGATGGAGCAGGTAAGGCTCGCGCCTTCGGCCCAAGTTCTTCCAAAAGAAGCAGATATGTGGGTGTAGGGCTTGGGATGCACAGGGTTTGAGGTTTTGAGGTTTTGGGCTTTGGGTTCTGGGTTCCGGGTTTTCACACAGGCAACCTAAGCTCCCTAAACCCTGAACCTTAAACCCTGCCAGGCTTTGTAAGCCCCAAACCCCAAACCCCAAACCCTAAGAACGACCCCCGGGCATCCCCCCAACCGCAAGGAACCATTGGAGCCGTGGCACTGCCGCGGTACCCGTAGGAAAAGGCAGTGCAGCGCCTGCTCACAAATCTCGAAGTACCTGGCGAGGGCTTAGGGTTTAGGGTTTAGTGCTTAAGGGTGAGGGCACAACCGTGGTGCTTCGACTCAAGACCCAACATCGCAAACCCTCTCAAGCTGATTTGCTGCAGCCCCTGGGTCGAAACTCGTTGGATCAAACCCTTAACCCCAGGTTTACAGCCCCCAAAAGGGCCCTAGGCCCGAAGTTGAGGATGTCAGAATCTCTTGGGGGAACAGGTTTGGGTTAAGACAGTTTAGGCAGCTTAGGCAGCTTAGCCAGTCTAAGCCGTTTAGGGTTGAGGATTCCGGGTTTCGGGTTTAAGGCTTTGGGTCTAGGGTTTCGGGTTTAGGGTTTAGGGTTTGGGGTTTAGGGTTTAGGGTTTGGGGTTTAGGGTTTAGGGTTTAGGGCCTTTAGGGCTTGGGGGGATGCCGGGAGCCCCACACAGGTCGGCGCATTCCTGGAAGGGAAGTCCCAAGATGACGTCCTGTGGCCGAGGCGCTGGTTCTGGCGACTCTTCAGCTCGTGGCTTCTGGGAGGCTGGCTTATGGGCTCTTAGAGCTACATAGGCTTAGGGTTTAGAGCTTTGGGGTTAGGGTTTCTTTAGGGTTAGGGTTTGGGGCTTGGGGCTGAAGGCCTCCCGTAGACAGGGTTTGGGGGGCTTTGTGTGTGTTTTTAGAGTTTCGGGGGCTTAGTGGGCTTAGGGGGCTTGGGGGGCTTAGGGGGTTTCAGGGTTAAGCCACTTAGAAGGCTTAAGGGGTGGTTGAGGGGAGGGAGTGGAGGCCTAAGAACACGCCAAAACCTCCAACCTGCAAAGCCGCCCTCTTGGGCACCTCCATGTCTGCGTCGCTCACACATCTCGAAAACTGTCCCAGAAGCACCGGCTCAAGCTTGCCCACCTGGCACTCAGGGCTTCGGCTTTTTTTTGGCTTCTGGGTTAAGAAAAAATGACTCGACTCGCAGAGACCAGATGAGCGCGCGGCGGCCATGTAGACAGGCACAGGTAAGACCATGCTCCCATCGCCTTGGACTTCAACACAAATCATAGGGTTCAGGGTTTAGGGCTTAGGGTTCAGGGGTTACATGGTCCTTGAATATGGGCTCTGAATTCTGGAACCCCGTAATACGCCCCTTCTATACTCTATACGCTCCCAGGGCCCATACATCAGAACCCTGTAAAGAAGGTAAGGGACCAAAGTAAGGGCAGGGAACCCAGCAACCTAGGAAGATAGGGGTGTCGGATGTCTAGGATGGTGCTAGCAACGGAATTTTAGCCCCAAAAACTGGGCGGTCTTGGTAGATTTGAAAAGCCCCAAACCCCGAGCTTGCGCCTCGGGCGATTAAGGTTTGGGGCTTAAAAACGCTATAATACTCTGATGCAGTGGCTTGCGAACGCAGGCCCTGCACCCTCAACTCTACAGCTTTGCTAGAGCTTCAACTTTTGAACCGCTCCAACACTGAAACTTTATGCACCCAAGACCCGAAACCCTAGAAACAGACCCTAAACCTTAACCCTCATACCCTCAACACCTGAACCCCACAACCCCCCAAAACCCCAAACCTTAGATTTCCCGTGGCCGCGGCTGTGGAAGAAGGCGCTACTCGTGGCATTCCACAGCAGCGCGAAGCGCTGTGGGCTGATGTAGGGCCTAAGGTACTTGAGGGTTCAGGGCTTAGGGTTTCGGGTTTAGGGTGCCACGCCTTAGGGTGAAGAACGCAGGGTTCAGGGTGCTAGGGCCTTAGG